GCACCGGCGGCCGCGGACAGCTCCGCTCCCGCCGCGCCCTGACCGCGCCGGGCTCTGCCGGCGCCGGGCTGGGCTCTGCCTGCACCGGGCTCTGCCTGCACCGGGCTGGGCTCTGCCTGCACCGGGCTCTGCTCTGCCTGCACTGGGCTCTGCCCTGCCCTCGGTGCTGGGCACGGTCCCCGGGCTGGGGAGGCCGGGGGACGCCGTCCCCACAGCCGGGGCAGCTCCCGTGCTGCAGGGCTGGCACGGCCAGCTCAGCCCGGGGCACCCGGCTTCCCCTGCAATCTGCTCCCCACCAGGCACTCAGCCCAGGCACCCTCCTCCCCAGCCGCACATCCCCACACCAACGGGCCCCGAAGCCGCTGTTTTCGTAGCGAGAGAAACTGAGGCACGGAGACCGTAGTTTAAAGCAGCACCCCGTGGCCTCACAGCAGCCCCAGGCTCACTTTTCCCTCCCCTTGGCCACCTCCTCTCATCCCCCCGCAGGGGAGGCAGGCTGGTAATTCACTCACCTCTCCCTGAAGATCTGGCGGGCCACCCGGCATGACCCCATGCTGTGCCGTGAGGTGCTCCAAGGACATGTTCCAGAGTGACAGAGGAGACGAGGAGGTGGGGATCGCTGTGCTGAGGCTGTTGCCAATCAGAGCTGGGTTTTGTTTTCCACCCAAATCGCTTGACCTGCCTCTGCTTGGCAAAACACGAGTCATGACCACCACTTACCCATGCATTTTGTTAATTCTCTCACACCAAGAGCTTTCCCTTGGTTGCCAGTTAGAAATGGGAACAGTATCAAAAATCCTAGTGCTCATTTTTATAGCTCCAAATATTGTCAGGACTGCTGGTCAGCTTGGATTCAGGTGCTTAAATTTGCTTCAGAAAGGAACCCTGAAGCTGGAGAAATGGACGGCAATAGCACAGCAATAGCCTTACATACTCTACGTGCTTTGGAAAAAGCCTTCATGAGAAACTTTTATGGACTAAACAGCTATGTAAATAGATACATACTGAGATTATTATAAACGAAAGTTAGTTGTTGTTTGTGTTCCAGAAACACAAAGGCCTCAGCCAAGTTTGAGGCCCCGTTGTGCAGTCCCCTCCACGTGGCCAGAGTTAACCCAAAGAGCCTGACATCCATCAGGCAACACGCTCCATTTTCTCCCTTTCACCTGGAATGGACCTGAGGCATGACATTCAGTGACACGCCAAGGGACACAGAGAGTTCTCAGCAGAGTCACAAGCACAAATAGGAGGAGCAGCACTTTCCGTGCTGCACACACCGTGCTACACACAGGGACTGCAAATAGTTACTAAACTGTGGCCACGTTTGCACAACTGCATTATTTTTTAGCAGTTTCCTTGGGAAACAGACCTCCATCTCAGTCTGTCTTTCCACAGCAACACCGCTCCTCCCCAGTAGCACTTCATTCATCAGCCATTCTCACCCAGATTTGGAAGAGGGATTGAAGTCTTTGAGACAATTTAGTTCCCACCTGGTTTGTGCAGTAGGGAAAGATCCCAGGAGCGGGCTGAGGTGGTGAGAAAGCTCAGCAGAGATGCCATGGGGCAGGCAGCTCATCAAGCAGCACCCACAGACACCTGCTTGCTGCCTTCCTTCTTGTCTGCAAGAGATTTCTCAAGAGAGATGGAGGAGATGGGGTTACAGAGGTGATGAGACAGAAAGCCAAACCTGCAGGAAACTAGACTTCATAAGGTCAGCTGTTCACAGAACAGCTTTTTTTCTTAAAGCCTAAGCACATGGTGAGCCCTGCTTAAACCCAGACCTACCGCACTCTCTCAGGATTGCTTTTTTTATGGCAATGATTGAGGCACAGAGCAAGTCTTTAAAGGAGCACTTTTGATCTGGGATTTAACCAACAGGTTGATTTCTAGAAATCAAAATTGACCTGAAGCATAATTCCTTGCTGTGAATCCTAGGGAATTTGGTATGGCCTTTGTTATCTCAAGCATCTAATTTTGTTTTCTAAGCTCTCCCTTCTTCTTCCCCCCCGCCCCCCCCCTTCCCCAACAGAAAGAGAGTATTTGAGCTATAAGTCCCCCAAAGGAACAAGAGCCCAATTGACAGAAAATGACCACAGGATGCTGGCAGCATTACAAAGACAACAGAAGAAGTATGTCAAACCTACACAATGTCACCTGTCCCAGAAGTAATATTTCTGGCTGGCAGCCAGGAGAGTCTAAAGTGGAAAAGACTTGCCAAGCAGGTTACGGCCTGTGATTAGGCAGGCAACTCAGAGAACCCTGTTCCCCTTTCAACACCAACATTAATCACAGCATTGGGACTGTAATTCTGTTTCATTTTTCTCTGTCTCTGTCTCTCCCTCTCTGCCCTGTGGGCCACAGGCAAAGGCTAACCTCAAGTTTTTGATTCCTCTTTGGCCACCTCCTGAAGAGTCCTACTCGAGTTCAATCTCAAGACTGTAAGTCCTTAGTTTTGCTCCCAATCCATCAGAGCCCATTTGCACCAGCTGAGGTGGCTTTGTACAGCAGATCTGGTTAGTCTAAGGTCTTGGTTCCAGCTACTCCTCCAAAAGACACCAGGGTTTAACTCTCTAAATGCCTGTTTAATACTGTTCTCCTGTCAAGAACAGCTTCCCTGTTGGAAGAGACTTTCTCCAGATGCTTTTGTAAGTCTGCTAATCAAATCAAACAAGCTTTTTCATGTAATTAAACATTTAGGTTTTTAAGCATACAAAAGCAGAATTTGCAGCATAATTGCAGAAAACAGGGGAATGGCAGTGAGCACAGGGACAGGGCAAATCCCCTGCTCACTGGTGAGCCAGGAGGACACTGCAGCAGCTGGTATGACCTCCCCTTTAACAACGCCAGCCACCAGACCTAGGAGCAAGCATTCCAGATTCCACCTTTGAAATGAAGCTTATGGGCTCTTTTTCTTACAAAGAACTTGAAAGTGAAAACAAAAAACTGAAAATTACTGTGGCTCTTCAAAATGGGTATCTGGGTTCTCCTTTAGCCAAGGGAAGCTGGTGGGGAAGAAAATGCACATCCACACACGTGTGTGCACATGCTACGTCTTCCTGTCCAGAGGAAACCAGTAAGTCGAGTTATAGCCAAAGAGCAACACAGCTCACCTCCTAAAGCTTTCAACCAGCTCTCCACACAGTGACAAAAATCTACAAAAGTTGCCTTGTTTTGCAGCTGCACCAATGAAACATTATATTCGCTGCTGCTTGCTCAGGCTTTCAGCCTTTCAGGGCAGGTTGCTGCTTCCTCAGCATGCTGCTCTCCCGCCGTGGGGCCAGCTCTCCTGCTCCCCAGCTGGCCCAGCAAGGATGCGAGTATCACTTTTGCACCAGGTGAAGAAGGGACAGTGCAGCCCAGCTGCTACCCATCAGAGGTGCTTTGCAGCGCTGTGCCCTTGCCCAGGCTCAGCTCAGCGTTTCTGCAGTCCAGATGGTGGGAAGTAACCTGAAACTCATATCCCTCTGCCTTTTAGAAACTACCAGCTCGCCACCAGATACGGGACCCTTTCCTGGGAGCACCCCATTAAAATGCTGGCAGCACAACTCTGATAGTGTTGGAGATAAGGAGATGAAACTTTGAGAACCACTGCTCTGGCTGTGTTTGGACTTCTTTCCCTGTGGTTCTGCCCCTGTGCTGGAAGACACTGACTGCAAGAATTTGTAAGCATACCAGCGCATTCAGTCATTTAAACTACATAATTGTGCACCCAATTTGTATGTGCAAATACTACAACCTTTTCCGTGCAAACTGGGCATTTTGACACACAAGCATTCATTATGGAGATGTATGTTTACAGTTAATTTACTTGTGTAATAACTGTACATGGAAAATAGACACACAGCTGTGCCTCTCTTCTGCATATCAACCTTGATGCCAAATACTGCCCCAGCGGCAACCTCCGGCTGGGAATTCTCATCCTTACTGCAGTATGTGCTTTGCGAGAGTGAGCAGGGAAAGCTGTTTTTAAGAGGCCAAGGACAAGAGGTACACGGCTGAGGGCAGTGCTGCCAATGTTGTCAGGTGCTCAGTTCTTTGTATGTTTCTTCCATCTCTGACCATTTTTCTGCATTGATGGTGAAATGAAAAAGAATTCCTTGGGGTACCAAAGGGACATGGCAGAGCGTCTGTTTTCTGAGACAAAGGAGAAGGGATGCTGCTGCCCAGCAAAAGATAGCAAGCCAGCTCATCAGATCTGTAAGGAACTAATTTCAGTAAAGATAAGACAAACAAACATCAACTGGGGATAGCGAATATCCTGGGAAAACACTGGAAGTTCCCCAGTACCAGGAGACTAAAATGATTCAAAGGGGGGGGGGAAGAAGACAGAAACAGATTGGTGTGGTGGAAAGTTAATTCCCATGCTTGCTCTGCTGTGGAACAGGTGTCTGAGAGACCATCCAGCTACAACATCATTGGAAGAAAGTTCCAGCGTAATATATAAGATATTCTAATTGCTACATCTAATTATGAGGAAGAGTAAATCACCATGAAAATATTATCTGTCAGACAGAGTATAAACACGAAATTGACAATCAAACTGAGAGCTGTCATCCATCTTCAGAGGTTGCTGCTGTGTATAAAAAGACACTGCTTGTATTCATGAAGTAGAAGAGTGCTTCTGGAGTTATTGTAAAGTCCTATTAATCCGATAAGTCTTTAAATATTTACATAAACTTGATCCAAAAATGAAAACTTCTTCAAGTATATTTTCTCAAACTGAAGACCAGTAGGAGCCTGCATTATCAAACTGGATTTTGCAAAGGCAGCTGGAGAGATATTTATAACAGTGCTTTGTGAAACATCTGGTACTAATCGAACTAAAGAATTTTTAATTAGCCATTAATTTCCTCAATAACACAAAAGTCTAGACCACCTGCCATGACCACAGACAGGTCTAACTAAACCAGGGACCCTAAGAAGGCAGCATGGTCTGTGCACCTTGCCCTTAAAGCTCAAATTTTTATACCTTTATTCACGTCTTGCTCTTCCACCATCAAAGGCCATGTAAACAAAGTAAAATGGAGTCACTGTCACACATGGATGATGCCTTCAACCAGACCCGACCTACATGCCCACCAAGTGCCCCTAGGGCCTCATCCTTACCATTTTCAGTGAGCAACTCGTAGCAATTCCCAACCTCAGCCTGGAATTGAGCCCAGGCTCAGGAGGCCCCAGCCGGCTCCTTGGGTCGATGCTGACGGCGAGCATGAACATCTGCTGTACAGCGGCCAAACCAGCCTGCGTCCCACGGCAAGATGGTTGTGTTGGCACTAGCGACAGGTTTGAGAGTGAGCTATAGACAGACAGGCTCCTTTACGGGCTGTACTTCTCAGAGAGTGAATCGAGCAGCCCCTCCAATCTGTGATGGTTGCTTTAATGACCAAGGCTGAGATTTTGGCTTCTGCCTTTTGAACAGAAAGCTCTGTGGATGTGCTACACGCATCCACAAGCTGCTTCAGCTATATAAAAATGCTATTAGGCTTTTCCTTGTTACTGATCCATAGCCAAGGCAGCAAGTGCCAGTTTTATCGCACAGACCTCCTACCTTCCCAAACTGTTATTGGTCTTTTTGATGTATCTATCTATTGTGTTTTTAAGAAATGAAGGGCTGATGGAGTTCAGATTTCCATTTAGGATTTTTAAAGCACAACAGCTGGGAGGTCATTTGTGAATTTATTGGATTTTATTGCTTTGGTGGTACAAATGTTTTATTTTAAAATTAAATTAAGTTATCCAGTATCCTCTGTGAGCGCTTCCATCATTGATAAAAGCACTGACGGACTCAGAGGCAGGACGGACTCTACATCATTGCAGTCAATCATGAGACTGAGACTATCCTGAAATCCATGGAATTCCAGGGTCTGAGGAATTTTGCAAGTGACCCGTTCCTGAGTAGTAATGGCTTTTAATTCCTCCCTAATGATCTCCTTGGCTCGAGTTGGGTCTTGAATCACAATTTTCTGCCCTCAGTCTTAAGCAGTGGTGTTTCTCTTCCTTTTTATGAAAACAGACATGGTTACACCCATTTTAAAGGTCTCTAGCAATGGCAGTACTGAATACAGTATCAACACAGATAATTATTCAGGCAAAATGTCCACGAAACCTGTATTGTTGGCAGATAATGTCGCTTACAAATAGCTACTCCTGCTTACATGAGGGACCTTTACAGGCAATGAAAGGTGCAGCCTACACCTTGAACTTAAGCCCATACAACATTTCAGTTTTAAAAAGGGACAGGCATTTCTACGAGAAAGCTGTAAGGAGACAATACTTATTTAATTATAATACTTACTAACATCCAGGAATGTCAGAAAGTCAGGTATTGAGCAGCACATGAAAATATCATTCCCATTCAGCATAAAATTCTTGAGTTTGAACATTAACATCATTTCAACACACTGAACATTGATGTCAGGAGTAGATAAATGTGCATATATATCACTTGCACATACCACGGCAGCAGTGGCACTTCTAAATGTCCAGTGAAACACTTCATTTCCATTCCAATGACTTCTAGGAACAAAGTCTTACAGAAACCTCTCAAATGAGAAGACCCTTAGCGCAAAGCCAAGAAAGAAGAAATTCTACCACACTTGAACCATTTCTTTGCAAAGTCGGGTGTTTCAGCTAGAAGAAGGTTTATAAGACTGGAGGGGCTGACATACAGGAGTATGCTGCTTCCTGCAGCCTCTGCTGCAGTGACATTCGTGTCCAGCAGAGAAACAGAGCAGTCACGGATGGGATTGCCTTAAATCACTACAACTAGATTTTCCAGAGCTTTCAATTGATGCCCTTGGTAACTCAGACTAGCCCCTGGCTGGCACACAGAGATGTTAACTGGACCATGCCCAGTGACCCTGTACTGGCAGCAATAGATTTGCTTCCAGCATTAGGACACTCAGTTTCCTTGGTCACCTCTGGTTGCCTCAGTTTCCCTC